TGGATCATAAGAGAATTAGAAAAAGGTTAAATGGAAGTAATGATTTTTCTACTCATGTTTCTTCCAGTTTCTGCTTTGCAGGAGGATAAACAACCTTCTCCTAAGGAGACAAAACTATTCATTTTTCCAAGCCCTCCTGGCCCAGGATATGAGTTCTTCCTGCATACAACAGCATTCTTGTCCTCTACTCAAGATGGGAGAAGTAAGTCTGTCTCTATCTCTGTCTCTCTCCTCCCAGCCAGAGTAGGGAGGCCTGGCTGGCATTCTTGAGCCTCTATTCAGCCCTGCCCTCCCAATCCCTTATCTTCTCCAGGAGGCCCATAAAAGTCAGTATGTGACATCACATCATCAAAAGCCACACACATGAGAAAGGTGACAAGGTACGGGATTCCTCCACAAACAAACAATGCAGTTTTTACTAAATCTTTTTTGTCAAAATCAATGATAGGAACACTGCCAGGGCACAAAGGCAAGTTCAGCATGTTCCTTTTACTTTAACATGAAGACTTCTGAACTTCAGTGGCCACCCGGGTGAGCTGGTTGCTTTGTTTTTTAAATGCCTGGGCTGGATTCGGGTCATAGTTTGCTGACCCCTGTTCTGGAGCATCAGCACGTGTCCTGACTGGGCTCAGTCAGTCTGTTCCCAGGAAGACAGCTAGTGCTGCCAAGGAATTCTCTGCCTGCCCACTGCCACTAACACATTCATCCACAGCAAAGGTTCTCAACCTGGGATACGTGGAGGAGCTACTGATAGCTTTCAGGGGAGGAAGGTCCAGGAATCTGGATGAGGAAAAACATCACATGTTTAACATTACTAAGTGAAATTTAACATTTCCTTCAATTATTTTTAAAAAAATTCTTCTGAGGACATCACTAGGGACATGTCCCAAAGAGTCCATGACAAACAAAAGGTTAAGGACCCCAAATTTGGAGTATGCTCTTCTACTTCCCTGGACCAAAAGAAAAAGAGTCAATTTCTAACCCAGAGCCTAAGAACAACTACGTAGTCAGAAACCTGGATTTCCCAAGTTCAGAGAATCATAGCACTTAGAGAACTGAACGAGATCTTATGGATTAGGCCAAAACACCTCATTTTACAAATGATAGAAACTGAAACTCAAGAAGAATGGAAATGACTTGACCAAGATCACATAAGTAGTAAGCAACTAAGCTGGGATTTAAACTAAAATGTCCCCTAACTCTAATTCTGACACTTTCTGTTACCAGTTCAATGGTTTGACTCCATTTTTCTCTACAGCTCAACCTAAGTGATTGACACTTAAGACCTCCTCTCACCCCTATCAAGCAACTGGGTAAAAACCAAAACACCCTCTATCATGAGAGCTTTGAAAGTGAAAATGCCAATTAGTTAAAAAGATTTATTTACTCTGAGCATAAGAAATGGACCTGCCAGTATACAGTCCAGAAGGGGCTGAAGGACTGGAGGCTGTACGTTATACACAGAGGGGATGCTAACTCATTATACTTGAATGACTCATGATGAACTCAAAGAGAACTGATGTCCTTCCTCAGTGCCCAGCTGACAACCAAGTCTGACTAACTGAAATCTGGGACTTCCTGCAATATCATCAGGATTCTGCTGCCATCACTTTGACTGTGCTTCGGTCCATCTATTTAAGCGCAATGAGAAATAGTCACTAAAAAGTATGGGGGGGTGTGTGTGTGTGTGATGGAGCATCATGGGATCAGCTGAATATACTATAAAATTCTCCGAACGAGACCCTGCCTGAGCTCTGCCTTCTACTGATTTCAATTCTAGGCCCAGTTCATTGCCCAAACACAGCACCTATTCAGTCAATAAGCGCTTTATTAAGTGTCCACTGTGGGTCAGTCACTAATAAGCACACAGAGATGGCCTAAGTTATAGGTTATCCATCCAATAGCATGGCAGGATCTGGGCAGTCACCATTTTTCATCCACTTCGTTTTTTCAAAGCTAGACTCATCTTTTTCTTACATAAGAGAAATGAGATAAAAGATACCATCATCAAGTTTCCTACAAAAGAGGATTCAGTGATGGGGAGGACATGTGATGCAACAAGAAAACACTCTGGGGTAAAAAACAGAAGGCATCAGAATAAAACTTCATTTTGAAAAACATATTATTGAGGACATTATGACAACTAGAAAAGCAGACTGCTTACATTATGAGAGTGTGAGATAGACAGCCAGGCTACAGTGCATCGGCAGGATCCTCTAGAAAAATGCTGTAGAAGGCATGGACGGGAACTGTACAGAATGAGAAGGCCTGACCTGACTCTCACTGAGTCCAGCATCAATGGAAGGAATGTCCTTGCTCATCCAATGTGGCAAAGCTGCTCTTTGGGCTCTGGTTGCTCCTGTCTTCTCTATAGTCTCCCCTAAGTATGTTCCACTTTGAGTCTGCTGCGTGAAAAGAGCTGGCTATGGAATAAGTGGACTTGGATTCAAGTCTCACCTCTGGTGCTTACTGCCTGTGTGACCTTAGGCAAGTCCCTCACTCTTCCTGGGCTTTGGTTTCCTCATGGGTAGAATGAGGAGGCTGGCCCGAGGAGATGCTAAGGTCCGTTCTGGCTCTAGATCTACGCTTCAGCATGCGATGGGACGCACTCAAGTGCCACGTACATTCATCCATTAGGAGCAGTCTCCGATCTGCTCTGTATCTGTGCCCTGGTACAGAGGATGGGACAGGCACCAAGTGGGATAAGCACAAAATAATGTTTGATGAACTGGGCAATAAAGCTAGCCAACGGCAAGATAAAATATCTGTCACACGCGGACTCGGCTACACGAGCAAAGTTGGCCCAAAGAGAAGACAATTTGCACTGAGAAAGACCGCCCTGTGTCCCTACGGTATGTTCCCTGGAGGGTCCAGACCCATCCTCAGAGATGCATTTGGAGAGGCTTCTGCTTTTCTTAAAGTCCTGATATGGGCACAGGCAGCCAAAATACCAAGACAACAAGTCAGTGCTTTGAGAAATCAAGACAAGCATTGGGATTGCCTTGAATTTTGACTTCTCAGCCTTGCTTTTTGGTTTAAACTTATCTTCTCCTTCCAACTGAGGAAGGCCCACTCTTTGGGAAGCTCTTTCCTAAGTTATGGAGTGTAAGAAGATAAAGTGGTGGAAGTTACAGAACAACAAAAACAAAGGACAGGAATAGCTCCTTTATTCAAAATGGTCATGTAACAAGCCATCCTGCACGTGGGCATTTTTCAGATAGCTGAAGAGGCTGTTTTTGGAGGCAAGACTTGTGGGGTCATGGCTATAGGAACCTTCTGGTATGAGAACTTCTTCCACTGACGAAGCTCATGAATTCATCTACAATTTAAAGCTGGAAAGAGCTGCCTTGGGTAGAGAATTGTTCAGTGAGTTGCCCATGGTTACGTATGTATGGAAAAATGCCATAGTTAACGCATATCAGAGGCAGGATCTGAACTCGGGTCTTCCTGTCCTGACAGAGGCAAGGCCTCTACCCACACTGCCCGCCTCTCATAACCGAACTGACTCTTCTTTTAAGTCCTTTTTCAATACTGTGATTTCATTGGTGGGGGCTGTGTCTCCTTGGATGTGGATCAAAAGTCCTCCAGGCCTCAGAAGATAGTCACAAATCCCTGGCACCCAAGAACTCACCACCTTCTGGACAGGGCCCTTTCCAGGCTAAAACTTTATTCTTATTTTCAGTGGAACTCTGCCTAAAATACACAATACTTATCTAATAGTACATGTTAAACACACTTTAGCCTTGTCACAACAACTCTCCATCACTATTCTAACCCTCAAATATTAGACAGCACAATTATTTGTGACCATCCTGTGCATCCATCATCATAGAAACCAATGATTCCCTCAAGGACTACCAGGGGGTGTATATTAAGCATCCGTTATCACTGATTGCTTTTTATAGTTATTCTGTCTCTCCCTTTGAAAGTCACAGAGCCCCAGGCTCTGAAAGGCCTACCTTTAACAGCATCCCTGCCCCCTGAGGCCAAATGGAACCACCGAGAGGCAGCTCTGTCTAATAAAAGTCAACAGGCCAAGGAGTAGATCTGATGACCAAATTAAGGAATATCAGTTGTTACACACACACACACACACACACACACACACACACACACACACACACGTTCCTTGTATAGAGACACATGTACATCAAGCACATAGCTCTTGTCACTCAAGAGTCCTCTCCCTGCCACTAAAGAAGATAGATGGTTTAGTTGTCTATAAGTCTGACTTTCAGGAAAAGAAGAGATTACTAGTTCTTTTTGTTCTTACCCATTCTGCTATAACACAGGTGTTATGTGGTCTTATGGGAGAGGGGTGACAGAAGGAGAAAAAGAGGAAGGGAGAGAAGAAGAGAGGTACAGAGAGAGGAAGGGAAGGCAGTAAAGAGGGAGAGAGGGAAGGAGAGAGGGAGGGAAGAAGAAAGGAAGGGAGAGAAGGAAGGAGGAAGGAAGAGAGAGAGAGAGAGAAGGAAGGAAGGGAGGGAGGAAAGAAGAGAAGAAGGGAGGAAGGTAAGATTGTCTTAAGAAAATATGGTACTGTACAGATATTTGTCTGTGGGCTCATGGCTATGAGGGCCCTAAAGAATACAAAGCAGCACACGTGTCAAATCTCTCTCCCAATTAAGGGCTGGGAGAGGTCACATTACTCAAGTCTTGTTCAAATACCATCTCAGTTACCATGTGGTCTGAGAGCAGTGACACCCCTGTTCTCCCTCCCCTCCCCCCCCGGATATCATAACAAAGCTTAATTGAATAAGTACTAACATAATCTCAGATTTATATGGTAGTTTCTCCCAAGGAGCATATAGTGCCTTGCTCCCAAGGAGCTATTTTAAATTGGTTACATTACCATACTGGTATTTCTTATGCCTACAATTAAGTCTCAAAGACATCAAATTGATTAAGGGAAACTGGCAGGAGACAGCCCGTATTCTCGTTCCCATGTCTGATTTACCCACGTGCCAAGCCCCGGCTCTGGGAGGATCTAACCAACTCACAGGTCTCGGTACTGGTCAAAGGCATTGTTGGCTTCTACCTCCAGCTTACGCAGGCGAGCAGATGGCATGGCCCCGTCTTCCAATGGAGGGTCATACCTGTTGCTCCAAGGTGACCTGCAGGGAGAAGAACACAAGGACAAGCTCACATCAATCAGTCTTTGCTAGAAACAAAACCCAGGAACAGCAGCGCCAAGCCCCAAGCTGATGGTACCAGGAAGTATGCCATTACTCATGGTTAAATAACTGTGGGGACCGTGGTAACAAATACCTCTGGTGGAAACTTCTCAGATAATTCACACAACAACACACACACACACACACACACACACACACACACACACACACAAGAAACACTTGTTTATGGAGTTTTCCTCTTGATCTGGTGACAATGGAAGAGTAGAGGCCAGTTGTAAGACTGGTTATGAGAACTGAAGATTGACGTTACTAAACCAAGAGGACGTTTGGAAAGGAGAAATAGTCAAGTATTTGAATGGATGTCATGTGACAGAGGGACTGGACTCATCTTGTTTGGTCTCAGCAAGAACCAGAGACAAAGGGTACAAGTGACAGAGCGGTAAAGCTCAGCTTCATGTGCAGACAGACTTCCTAACAAGGAGAGCCCCTCAAAACCAACGGCCTATCTTCCTGGTCCAGAGCCCCTTCCTCCAGCACACGTTCCAGCAAAGAGAAGACCATGCCACCGGTCAGACGTGCTGTTAAGGGGTTCTTAGGCAGGTATGGGAAAGTCCCTTTCTACTCGGAGATTCAGTCATAAATGGTACCCCTGTGGGGGGGTAAGGTAACGTAATACAAATTCCCTCATGCATAGGCTACATGTGCTTTGAAGCATTCTAACTGGTTAGCTGACCGAGGCAGGGAGCAGATGGGTAGACTGGGGGGAGGGGCTTAGATGGAGAAGCAGCCTGGCCTTTCCCAAAGCAAAGGATCAGTCCACGTTTGAACAACTCCATTACTACTCTTGTTGTTGAGTCATTTCGGTTGTGTCCAGCTCTTCAGGGCCCCATTTCAGGTTTTCTTGGCAGAGACAGTGGAATAGTCGGCCATTTCTGTCTCCAGCTCATTTTATAGATAAGGAAACTGAGGCAAACAGGGTTAGATGACTTGCCCAGGGTCACACCACTAGTAAGCGTCCAAGGCCAAATTTGAACTCGGGTCCTCCTTACTCCAGGCCTGGCACTCTATCCACTGGGCAACCTACCTGTCCCTTATTACTACCTTGGCAATGCATAACTTCATCAGTATGGGGACACTGCCATCCCTCCCTGCTGCAGACCAAAGTTTTTCCAGAACACTACTAACAATGAGCAACAGTCATGAAAGGGTCTACAAAGCGCTCTTCAGACATTATCTCATTTGAGCTTCACAATCATCTCATGAGCTATGTACCACAGGCATTAGCTTTGTTTTATAGATGAGGGAAAGAGATCTGTGCAGGGTCATACATCTAGTTACACGAAACAGGTGGGAACAGATTTCAGATCTTCCTGGCCTCAGATTCAGCACCTTGTCTAACGCTTAAATGCAGTCTTAGAGAGCTGCTGCGGTTAAAAAACAAAAAAAACCAAAACCCTATCGCTGAGCAGCCCAGTTGGTGATAAACCTCTCCAAATTCAGGTCAAGTGGTCCTCAGAAGAGATACACAGTCCAGCTCTCCAAGCCTTTCCAGTGTAGTAAGACCTGTCAGAGCTTGCATAGGAAGCTGGCATAGGAATGAGAACCCAAGGTCATCTCCAAACCACAATGAGACATCACAGCAAACTTTAATAGAGGTATTATAATCATCATTATCATCCATAATTAATTCATTAAGGCCTATTCTGATGCTTCTTCATGGTTTGGAGATGACTTTGGGTTTCTGAACTCTACACCATCAGTACAAGTTATGACAAGGTGCTCCTAAGCTGGAAAGGCTCTGAGTATGTCCTAGAAAAGGATTGTCCAAAGACTAGCCCAGATACCTGCAAGACTCATCGCTAGAAGGCTGGTTATCATGAGATGACTTTTCTTTGGCCAAAGCAATGCATGACCTATTTACTGAGGCACAGAGGGATCTCTGGTTCACATAAAGGTCGAGGGATGAAAATGTACCAACATAATCACAGATGAATAGGCACTGCTTCTCCTGGTCATCCCAAGGGCTCCCAGCCCTCTGAATGCCAGGCATATAAAATCTGTTAAGTAATGAGAACCAGCTTCTCTTTAACACAAATACTAGCTGGGCCATATTTTTTTCCTTTTAAATGCATTTTGCCACATCAGGAAAACATTTAATCACAGAGAAAGGCATGAAAGAGGACTGTAAGCTGAGGACCTACTCATTAATTCTTGCAGGTGGGATTCAGTGGGCTGGGTTTTTAGAGAAAGGAATAGTATTAAAAAATAAAGGGGGAGGGGAGAGAAGTGTAGGGAGGTTAGTACAGAGACTACATAAGAAAAAAGCCATTTACCCTCCCCTCAGGTTTCAAGATCTTACCATTCCCATGGTATGAAACCCACACTAACTCTCTTATTTCCCCTGCGTACAACAAATCTTCAAACATCTTGCTAGATTTCTAGATGCCCTTGATTTCTGCTTTAGGACTGTTTGTTAAGAACAGCAGCAGCAGCGGCGGCGGCGGCGGCGGCGGCGGCGGCGGCATCCAGTCCTCTGAGCCTGTCAATCTCCATTGTGCTCCTCCACACACAAGAACCCTTTCCCCAGCAGCCAATGGCTACCCCACATTCTGAGAGCCAATGAACGCATTTTCATATCCAATTCTAAGCATAAAGGTACTAAGTTGGTTTTAAGCTTCCCCTGAATTTGTTGGCAATGGAGGATGGGGTGGTGGTGGGGAGAAGTAACCACATTTGGCATCTAGGCAGGTGAGAGCACGGCTCTTTGGGCGGCAGCCCCCACAGCTTGACCAAAAGCAGCTGGGCCCTTTGGAACCTATTACTTACAAGGAGATCATTTTCTCCACTTACCACAATGCTGGTTCAGATTTTGCAAAAATCAAAGCGAAACAGAAGAATAAGAAGGAAGGTTCCCCCCCCCCCTCCCCCTGGCTAACCAGCTGTAGGTTTTACACCCCTCTTGGTGGTTAGGGTGAATACCAAAGAAATCACTGAAGAGAGCTACAGACAACAGCACAAGGAACCCCCAAAGAGGAAGCAGGGCAGGTATGTAGACAACCTCTAACCTGCCTACCTGTTCACCTGAGGTTTTCGTACTCCAGATCAATTAAACACTGAATTAAGCACCTACTACATACCAAGCACTGGGCTCAGACATGGGAGGAGGTAAAAAAACAAGAGGTTCCTGCCTTTAAGGAATGAAGAATCCATCTCTGACCCCATTATGCGTGAGAGGGCTAGGATGAAGTCTGGGAACTCTAAAATATAGATTGGAAATTGATTACCAGGTGAAAGGAGGAAGCACTGAAAAGAGAAGGAAGGCAGCATAGTGGAATTGGAAAAACAAAGCCCTTGAGAGCAGAAGACCTGAGGGTGAGCCTCACCTTTAGGAATCCATTTCCTCATCTGTAAAGTGGAATGGTATTACAGAAATAGGAATTTATTGTAGAAACCACTCTCTACTCTACCAGCCTAAACATTAGCAAGAAGATAGAATGGGGTAGGGAATAGGGAGCAGAGCAAATCTACACATGAGTGCAATTAATTCTAAAAAGCACCACAGGCAGATGTTCACAGTGGGGGTTGAGGTGGAGAAAAGTAGGAAATGGAAGAGACAATCCTTTTGTCCCACTGGAAGCCCTCAGGAGACATCCTGGAATTCTATGTTAGTCACTCTTGTAATGAACCTGGAGACAGAGAGGGCAAATGTTTCCCCTGTTGAGTGATATTTAAAACAAACATTTAAACACCAAATCAAACAAAGATCATCTCCTTTCCCCAAATTTTGGAAGAGAAACAGCAGCAGGAGAGGTTGTCTCAACAACTACCCGAATTCAGGCAAGCAAAGGTGGGATGGTGGGGTGTCCACACCATCTCTGGAAAAGAATGAGCATTGTGGATGGGGCAAGCTGACTGACTTCTCTGAGCCTCTTACTCTACAAAACAATAGTGACTATTTATGTAGGACTTTAAAGGCTTGCAAAGTGCTTTACAAATATTATCTCGTGAGCCTCACAACCGGCCTTGAAAATGGGTACTGTATTATGATGTCCACTTTACAGATGAGGAAACTGAGACAGATAAAAGTTAGGTGATTTGTCCAGGATCACACCTAATGTCTGATAGAAAATTTGAACCCGGGTCTTCCTGACTCCAGGCCCAGCACTGCACACTAGGTCAGGCTGCCTGCCTAAAATGAGATGAGAGGACCAGAAGGTTCTCAGGGGGCTGAAAGCTCTGTGTCTGCGCCTGAACTATAGCCATTTTCCCTCACTAAAGGCAGATCTGAGACGCCATCCGCTGCTCTTCCAGATACATCCTTTGTGGACGTTATCCTAGGCAGACACACAAACACTTTCCTCATATTCCTAGGTTTTAGGTAGGTGCTATTATTATCTCCATTTTTCAGATGGGGAAAACTAAGGGAGACAGAGGTTAAGTGACTTGGCCAGGGTCACACCCACTAGATTTGAACTCAGGATTTCCTGACTCCAGGCCCACAGCCATCTAGCTGCCTCTCTTTTACAGAGCAGATACTAAAGACCCAAGAAGGTAAAGGACTCCCTCATAGTAGAACACCCAGAAAAAGGCAAGGCCAGAGCCCGAGTTGGTCCTCCTTATTTCCAGCAGTGTTCTAGCCATTACACTCCTGTGCTTTCTTCTGATTCCTGAGGCAGGCAGGAAAACTGGGTGAGGATCCCAAACGGGTTTTGTTTAAAGGAAGTTTGATCAGACAGAGACGATCCGATCTCTTTTGCAGACAGTGGGCCTGGAATTTTTAAGAAACCTCTAACTTACATTTCTCCTGGCTCAGAGAACAGAACATTTCAAGCCTCTATTCCTGGAGCCAGGCATAATTGTAGCTTGGAAAAAAAAAATCTTAACACTACCCCAAATATTTTTAGTAGAAGGGGCACTCTGCACACATTTAAGAGCTTAAATGGAGGCTGTTTGAAACAAGACAGATGGACAAGAGCTCT